TGAAACTTATATTCTCTTTTTAATTAATTTTTCTAGTCTTTTTATTCGCCCTGCTTCATGTTCTGGGCTATCTTGTATAACGTGACTCGAGTCATGTAAAACGTCTATATTCTCAGGTTGTTTGAACTGTTCTAAAAGTAAAACTTGTTCCGTCTTCTTCAAACCCTGTAAAATATAATTTTAATATTGTATGACTGTAATTTAAATAATGGGAGTGTCTTTAGAAAAGTTAAATTACCTTCATATCTAAAATTTTTTGAAATTCCGGTGCCTGCAAATCCGGCAAACGTACGCGACATTGTTTTACGAAGTCCTTTGGAGATTCTATTGGAGACATCACGATTTTCAAGATCATCTCAGCATTTGCCATACCTTTTACTACTACCTAATTTAAATCAGAAATCCATAAATTAATTTACAAATAAGAATTGAAGTACGACAAGTACGAAAGAAAGCAAGTTACTTTAGTATAAGTTGCTGGTGCTTTTCTCTGAACTTGATATCCTGTTGAAGGGAGATCTAACAGTGCTGTTTTTAACATGTGTACATCTAACAATAATTGTTCAGCACCAACAGTATTTAAGGGTTTGCATTTATATAACTGTTGTATCAATTTTACTATGAAAGAACTGAAAACGAAAAATTCTTTATCAACTTGTTCTGTTAATAATATTTAGTAAATATTAATAACTAGAATTAATTTTTCTTTATCTAATGTCGTTACCTTGCAAACTTAACACAGAGCTGGGTAAAATATTTTCTGCAAGAGGACAACCTATCTCTGATAGTAGGTATCGTTTGACGCAGGTGTGCCACAATGGTATTAACATAATTACTTTGGTCACCAACAACTTCTAGGGCACTCCATTGCACCTGGAATAATTAAAATTTCAAATAAAGGTGAATAAAATTGTTTCAAACGTTGACGTAATACCTTTGTCATTGCAGTTAATGCAGACTCGCATGCTGATTCCAAATCTTGAACAAGCAACTGTATACAATTCGATATAACACTGGAAAAACATTGATATTAATATAAAACGGTAATAATTAATGATTAAATGAATGCCACAACTAAATGTGCTCTACGAACTTATGAAAAATGTCTTGTTCTTGAGACAAATTAATCTTTTCCGCGTAACATTTATCTGCTTTCTCCCGAAGCTTTTCTTCCAATTGTTGCGTTGTTTCTAAACAATATTCGGCAGTTGTTAGTATACTGAAAAACACAAGTTTATACAATTTATTTTCTGCCAAAAATCAGTAAAAATTTTTTTAATTATCAAATCTTTACCAGCATATACGTGATTGTTCCTCTTTGCTGAATCTGGTACTTTCGCCTTCCTTCAAGAAACTTTGAAAATTCTGTATAAAACCTGACGTTGAAAGATCTCGAAAATCTCGAGTTATACTACTCATACTTGTGGCGATTCCTGCACCCCCTCCAATTCTACACAGAATTATTAAGAATCATACAGTTATATTGCTTGCTATGAAAAATGCATAATATTCTTTACTCACTTTGGTAAATTATTTTGCAAAACTTTAAGAGCGTACTCTCGCAGGTACTTTTGAAAAGTTTCGGCCAAGTTCAACATAATGGAGCCTGTACTGAGTTGCGTGCATTGCAACATACACTTCTTGTAAAACACGAAAAGATCCGCGCAAGAAGATAATACACTACTAGGCCCTTCGACACCATCATAATCTTTAGCACCAGGTGGTTGTGTTTTAGAATCCGATATAAATTTATCCATTAAATCTGCTAGATTACGATCTAAACTCTCTATATATATATTCAAATATGGCTCGAAACATCTTCCTATAAGTTTTGCAAATGGTGATGGTTTGGGTTTTTCATTTTGTACCTGCTATACGATACAATATTTTAGTTCAAAGATTATAAAATTTTTTGGAACATAGTACCTGTTCATTCTCCTCAAAAGGATTTCCTGGAGTCTTATTATCAGTCGTATCTATATTAACAGTAGTATTCTGTTTGTTTGTCGTGTCCACAATTTCCAAAGTAATGCCAGTAAATCTTTTTGCTAATAGTGATTCAAAATTACTGGTTCTTTGAATTGCATAAAGTAGCAACTTTACATCAATTTCGGAACGTCTTTTATGCATTAATTTTGTAAGATCTTCTCGCGTAACGTGACAAAATTGCACGGCAATTCGTTCCGAAATTTCCCAATCTTGCGGGAAGATTGTACCAAATTTTGACTCAAAATCAAGTAAATGCTTTTTTATCCATACGTAGCGTCGATCGATTTTATCTAACCATGCAAAATCTTGATTTTCATCGAAAAGGTGTTGATATTCTTGTAATTGAATACCGACAAACCAGGTGAGCAGATCCTTCCTTATAAAAACGAAGAAATGTAAGTTATCAAATTTATATTAATCCCTTTCAAAGAATATTAATGAGTACTCACTTTACTTTCGGATCTAAGACAGATAAAACTAAGCATCCTTGTGTAAGTTGGTTAAAGGATTTCGAATTTTGACCAGAAAATGCTTGCTTAAAATCTGCATTAATTTGTTGAGCTAATTCAACGTGTATCTGACGTACCTTTAAGTCAAAATATTCAATGGAAACTAATATATATTTCATAGTTATTATTATAGGAATTTAGATATTACATACTTCATCAGACAATTGTTTTACTTGAGGTATATCCATATAGCTATTAAAATGTTGCATCACTTCCATTACTGCTTGCAAAGGTAAAACAATTTCACCATACTGTTTTTTCTGTGTTAATACCCTAAAATAGATGTACAATGATATTTTAACTTAAATTTTTTAACTAGTACATTATTCGTAAGAAACTTTATGATAGATTACTTTAAGGTATCCACTCCTTCCACAAGCATGTGCAAATGATTTAAAGCAGTAATTGAGGCAGTGAGATTTCTTTTAGCAAAGTCGAGCTGCTTAATATCTCTCGTTATTTCTTTAACTACTTCCTCAGACTGTTCTGCCTTATCTTTGATATCTTTTATGTGAACAAACAATTGTTTTATTACTTTTTGCGCATCTTCTAATGCTGCTCTCCCATCTTGACCCACATTTGTTTGACCACGTACTACAGAACGAATTTCTTTATCTATGGTACGTATTTTGAATTCCATATTATTTACTACATCATCGATATTTGACAATGACTGTTCAGTGGGAAATAATGAATTTACATAATCCACTACATTGAAGTTTGGTTGGTCCAGTGGATCTGTGCTAGGGAGAACCTATTAATTAAGAAATTTATTAAAATCAATATAATTAACATTTTTTTCGATATTATACAATGAACTGTCTTCTAGCGTCAATATTGATTGATCCAATATTAAAGAAGTTATTCTGTTTTAATAAAAGGTGTTCCAATATTTTATGGAGTCACTGTATGTCAACTAGAAATGACAGTTGTATGTTGCATACATTTTGACAGTTTTAGTCACAAGCCTAACCTGTTCGATTACATTCTGCACATTCGGTGGAAACGTGTAAACAGTTGAATTCAAATCTTCTAAATCGTCTTCCTCGTGTCCTTCCATTCCAGTTTTTCTTTCGTACTCAATCATACAACTTATGCGTATCTCATTCTAAATAATATTTTCATGAACATATGACAAGGCACGTGAAATGTTTACATGAACACTTCAGATACACACTTGGATCCACAACATTGCACAACATCCACAATGAGTAAAAAGAGTCACTTTGGGACTTTGACACATGCACCACACCTATATCATTCATTTATGTATTATTATACATATATGGATGCACATGCATCACATGTATATCATAGAGTTATAGAGCTTATAGATACTTAATTGTCACGCAACTTTGTAACAACAAGTGATAATAGAAATTACCTGTTAATTTAAGTATTAAACGTTATATTACCATTGAATTATAATACATATTATATATTATCAGAGAGTGAATTGTGTTTTGTGTTAGTTTGTAGTATATATGTATGCATGTATAGATCTATTCGACACTGTTCGTGGATTTACATTCATTAATTAAATATCTCGCCAATTTATCTTATCCTAAAATTGTCAATACATTATTTATTTGGAGTTACCCGCTTAAACCCATTATGTCCCATATGCTGATCCTATTAACAAATCCAGTATTCGTACAGTTCCAGAGATTCCTTGATAAGGAAAAAGACAGCGAGTCTCCGCTCTATGTTTTATATTCCATGGGAGTTGGTCGAACGATCGAAAAGCTTGGTCAGTTGTAGCGCCGACTCGGCTCGAAGTTGTGTAGTTTGAAGGCACACCACTGTACAAAATAGAAGCACGTTTTTTTTTGTACTAACTTACGTAGAAGCAGTTGACGTTTTACATAAAGACGACGCGAGAAAATTTGTAGAACAATGTCGCACCAATCTGCACACTGGGGAAAATTCATATTCGTATATATATTACAATTATCATGTAAGTTGGAAGGCAATCGTAAACACCCACCCGGCCAGTTCATTCTATTCCCGGACCGTACAAATTACCAATTGTTGCTCTGTTCGACAAAAATTCGATATCTCACAGTATATCCAATCCCGAGAAATATTTAATCATTTCGATCGCATGCGATTTTTAATATACTTCATCGCAAAATACATTTTGCATGTACATAAATAGATTTACGTATTTTTATGATTTTTCATTATGGCTTTTGTAAGAATGTTTCATTAATAATTTTGAAATAATTAAATGTGTCTGTCGAGCGTACGATTATGTTGTCGTTGATGTAAATTGTATATTTTGTTACATAATTATATTGTCAGAAAGGTAGCAGTTACATTCAATGAAGTTCAATAAGAATCTTCATGAATAACTTGTAATGTGTGATGTAGATGGTTTGATTTAATTATTGTGTGAATAAACTTGTTTACATTTTTCGCGGTTTTTTTTATTACTTTTCTTCATTTATATTTCCTTGGTTTTTTCCTCTTTCCAACGATTACATTTCTTACCCTTCAAACATTTTTATTCATAACATGTACATCGTGATAAATCTCATAGCGACGAGTTATGACTGGGAGTTGCTAGACTTACGTCTAGTTTTCCATTTATAACGGTAGATAGGTTTAAAGAATATAATAGTAACACGGAAATTATTCTTGACACACGTTTGTCATCGTTCACTGATCGTAATCCATAATGTTTGCAAAGCAATATATCCGAGAACTTCTAATTTCACATTTACATATGTGTATTTATTTTATCATTTTATTATTGTATTATTGCCTGTACAATATCATCAGTATTATTATAACAACGTTACATCTGCAAAAGATTTTGCTGAACCCCATCACCGCCCATCTGTCGGAATAATTCCCGCGATTCGGTCGCACGGTACGTAATTTGAAAATGCACAATCAAGTCGCAAGAACGTATTTCCATTTATTCTGTTTGATCACTTTTTCTTACCGTTTCGTTTCACTCGCATACAGAGGCGTTCCAAAAGGCTTTCGAGCGGCGAATGTCATTCGGAAACGTTCTGACGCGAGTGGAAAACCGATTTAAATCTGAAACGTGCGCATAGTCGATGAAGATCCTATCACACCCACGGATGAAAAGTGATTTTGTTCTCTATGATTATATTCGTCATCGCTGAGACACGGTGCTCTCGGAACGTCTTAAAACCTCCCGGAATACCTTGCGCGCGTGTTGGTAACACGCGCTTTCAGTGATCGATACAGTAACACCTCCCAGCAACAGGGTATTGCCACAAGTAGTTATAGTCAAGCGAAACCTCTCCATTCTTTTGTCCACCTCGTCATATTGTCGACGAGCAGCAGCCCGCTTTTCGTGCGTGTACAACTGTTGTCCGTACGACAAGCGATGACACGGTAGATATCGCGATCGAATTAACCGATCGCAGATCTCATTAATCGACCGATAAGCGAATTAATGCTATACGGAAAGTTGCCAGGGATACACGTATCTACGTGGACTACCCACGTAGCTACTCCTACGACCTAGATTTCGCGGAGGAACGCTCGAATTAATAGACACTTTCCTTCCGACACGGTAAATTGTATCGATCATCCGGTTATTAATTGTTGCTCGATGATGTTGCACGCTAATTGTAGCGCGGCACATTAACGGCTAAATCGACAGCTCGTACGTTAACGCGATAATATTCAAATTTGACTGTACAACCCGTTTCATCGTGCATGTAATTTCATTAAATCGATCCGATGCAGCTGTCTTCCATGTGTTTCCAATACGAAGTTTTTCCTCCGATTGATCTCGCGAATCTGCCGTGACTAGTTCTTAACTATTTCATGTCACTCGTTCAGTTATTCCACGTTCCGCGAAAAAAACACTCGTATCTCCACGTTCATTGATGTATCCTGTAGAACGTTACTGAAACATTCGACAATTTTCATAAACGATCAGTTATAATCATAATTTTCTCTTGCACGGCTGCCTCGTAGTTCACCGAGTAATCGTTAATAATGCATAATTTTAATGAACGCATAAAATAAGGAACAAGATTTGTTTTATCGGATGCAACCGGATGCTATGGTTAAAGTTTCATGTCGTCGACCAGCTAGAATCCCCAGTTTGTTGTTGCGGGCATAAATTAATTAACGATTTTATTGTTGGGAAAGTTGCGTCCGGTGTACGGAGTGTTTCGCTGTTGAAGCGTAACGAACCAAGTTCTGCACGGTGTATTTTATGATTTCCGTTCGACACTCTGTACGATTTCACGTTTATTTTTCATGTGTACACATAACGAGAAAATTGTGTACATACATTCGTGTATAACGAACCATTCAAAACGCGTTAAATCAGTTATTATCTACTTATGCGCTGTCATTACCGTCCAAAATAATATTTTTTAGGTCACAATTTTATCGTCGTTACACATTTGCAGTTATCTTATTTTAAATATTTGGCATTTACAACCTCACGTTTCACTATATTTCTTTTATTTTATTGTTTATGAAGTGGTTCTTCGTAAGATTTTACACTTTTGTGTTCGTATTCGTTAAACAAAAGAAAAATCCATAAAACTTCCATACAATAAGAATCATACTTACCTAATCGTTGCGAGAAAAGCATTAACTGATTAATGAAAAATTATATACCAATTTTAGTATCCTATGAATTTAATTATGTGCATACTAATAGTAAAAATGATGAGCAAAATATTTTTACTAGTTTAATTGTGACTCAGAATAATATGAAATTAAATTTTAATCGTTTTTTAAAAAAGAACAGAAAAATGTGTTCGTTGAGACTTTGTGATGATTAAATAAAAGAGCTTGAAATGTCGTGTGTCGTGTCACTGGTAAAGCATTCTGGAACGAGGAATACTGTTCTTGTTTACCGAAAATGGTTCCCTGTATTAAATAAAACATTGTCGTCGGTGACTTTCAGATGCAACTTCTACGATGCAAGTACAACTGATAGCGCCGTACTACGTTACGTACGGTAGTACAGCTACTCTGCATTGCAATCATAGTGTCCCAGATGCTTCCTTGCATAAAGTCGAGTTCATGAAGGATGACAAGAAGATATTACAATATATAAAGGATAGGAAACCACCGTTCCTCGATTCGAGAGTAGACGGTGCAAACATGGAGGTGAGTTTCATGCAATTAAAACGTAGCAGTTCTTTCCACCTTTCAATTATGCAGCCATTAAGCAATTTCGTAGTTATATCTGTCACATCTGCTATCAACCAGCGAGAGTCTACAACGACGATCTTTTTCCGTTTTTAATTTTGTGCTAATTTTGGTACGATTCTTGAACCCAGTTCTCTACTTCAGTACATAACATGAACTACATAATATAAAACTAAAACCCTCATTTTTCGAATCAGCCAAATACTATCGTATTAAGTGAAGAACTACGTGGCCAATCGATTTAAGATTTTGCATAAGAACTCTTTGTACACTAAATTAGTTTTACTTGAACTTTAAGATTCATCTGATCGTGAGAACTACTTTATCTTATTAGCATTAATTTAATGCGGAATAAGATACGCTGAAAGTTTTATTGCTTGATTATTGATGTTATGCAATGGTATTTTACTTCAATCTTGATATTTTCCATTATAGAATGTTTCGAATACGTGAAACTGCGTATACTGTATACATTAATAACCACGTACAAATGTACGGTTTTTAATGATACTTGCTCACGAATGTCGTATATGAAAAAGGAATGGTATAATGTATTTAACGATTGTACGATTTGATGAATGTTCGCGTGCACAACTTGTACGCTGGTTTTTGTTTGAATTCAGTATTGTTTGGAACTATTTGCGATCCATCGGCACGTATAACTCCGGAAATTCATTTCATTTCAAATTTTTCTTTCGCCCAGAAACCTCCTGTATTAAGAATATCTTTTCGCCATCACTGCTTATTAGATAATAATCAGCGAAGTTTCGTGTTACTCGCGCTTCTTAGTAAAAACATTCCTTCACACTTCATGCGACATAAATGTGTCACGAAGGTGCAATGATTACGCGTATGATGTTCACCTGTCGGCCCAAGAATAAACGGCCAGTCCAAAAATAAATCAGCCACGCTGTCTAGCCATGTTACTATTTTACTTCATACATGTCTGAGCTGAGGGTTACATTAATATCCACAGGTTTTATATTGTATCACGTTTGAAAGTCACGAGCGAGAGTTTGTTTCGCATGAAACTTGAATGCGACTTGACGAAAATTACTAATTATCTTGACTTGGAAAATTAAATTTGTTTGAACTACCGCTCGGCTCACCAATCGTTTAATTGACAGTTACTTCGCTTTTAATGATTATATGATTATGATAAAAAGCGATGGTAGTCGAATTAAACTTCGAAAAGATTTTTCCTTGCAAAATTTTCACCGAGAATGCACGTTATTCGTTTTATTCCCAGTGCCAATGAAGCAATGGAATTAATCAAATGAATAAAAAATTGGTGAACCGTATATTACGTTTTACGTTAAAGAATGTTTCGCCGCGGACAGTATTCATCAAAAGAATATATCCTCATTGCTGTTAAAAGGAAAAAGTAGTTACTCTCTTGCTTTTTCGTAAATCAGTAAAACAGGCCAGCGATCGCGCAATCTTGCATTTCCGTATCTGAATGTCTTTAATACTCTTGGCTCTTAAAATGTTGTATGAATACGTAGCAGCAGAGATAAAAAAGAATTTTGTCTCTGGTACTGATGTCACGATGAAGTTAATGAAAGCTTAAAACGTCCAAGAGGTTCAGAGACTCTCTCTTATACGTACAATTTTCGTATTTTCTAACTAACTAATTACGTACTTAGAATCAAAAGGTTATTCGAGCTCTCGTAACGGATACCACGATGGTTAAAAAGTAAATTACGGCCATTTGCGGTAGATTATAAATCCTCGATTCTCTGCTTGTTTCATCCACGCACTTGTATGCATATATGTATGTATGTATGATGTATATTCATACGTGACGTTCCATTTCCCTCTCGTTTCTGACCATAGTCGATCTATTCTACTGAGCTGATCACACGAAGTTTCACAACGCAGCGTGTCTGATTAGGTAGGGCATTATTCCACTTTCGCGGCGTAGTTATAATTAATTTAAACTCGACCGCTTATTTTTACGCGAAAGGAGTTTTCATATTTTATTCAAATCTTCCGCTTACATAATAATATCACTTTTTTAACTGTGTCAATTTGCAGAGAAAAATAATTTAAGAAAATGGAAATGTCGTTGTCGTTCGATTTCGTCGTTAGGTGATTTCGTTAATCCTTAACGAATAAATAAACAAGTTACACAAATAAATGAAATAATAATCAGCTGGTCGGGTATAACGTTGAATATTCATGATTTTTCTGCGTTAGAGGGGATTTAATACAATATTAATACGCTATATGGTCGAGAACATGCAAATGCGACGCGTTCGTGCTTCACCGGCTTCATATGTTATAAACCGGTCGCATTGAAATCAAAATGAATCAGAACATCTTTCTTTACATTCTCGACTTTTTATATTCAATGAAATGCGTCAACACGAAAATTTCTTTTTTCAATTTGTATTTAATGTTGTATTAAATAAGTACAAGGTTATTAGGGAAAGATTAACATTAGAACTACCGCCTTTTTTTTATACATGCATTTCTCTATGTGTGTTGTCTCTGTGTTAACTATGTCACTATGAAAGCATTATATTAATCAATATAATATAATATATTTATTTCTTATATAATACAAATTTTGTCATGTTACAATTCTATTTGGAGAACTCTCTGCTGAGAAAATTCCAACACGACTTATCGCAGCGCGGTCGGGCGGATCAATTATTCTATCGTTCGATTCGGACACGCTCATAGATAACAATGAGTTCAGATTTAAACGATTACAAGAAAATTCTAAGGCAGAAGAAGTCGGAGACCATCTGCGTTCCATCAATGCATGCTCCTTGAAGGAAATCATTCCTAGATGCAATAAACAATGTAAAGGCTACGGTGATGTTTGGGGAGTCATAGGGCTAAAAATTTCCTTTCATGGTATTCTCTCTAATAGTACTTTTAAAGTATGTATTGATTCGTTAACGCCCACAATTCACGGAAAACACACGCACATGTTCCTATCGTGCTTTATATCTGAGAAATAATCTTACACGATTTTCGTATAAACGGCAAAACGAAAAGAGTTGAGCGTGACGTAGATTAGTCTAATCCGGAGAGCTAACAACCAGCACCCTTATACAAGGTGTCTCAGAATGCACGACTTTTCTCTGAGGATTTGGAAGAGGGTGAAATTCTGAGACAAAAATTCATGTTTCATTTCTTCCTCCGACCACTATTAACAAAGTTATTAACGAAAAAAGGCGACGAACGAGTAGAAGTGGAAAATGGCACGGAGCACAGCCTTGCGCTACTGCATAGCGCTGACAATGAGTGACCGTTGCGTGCGATATCCCTGTGCTCCATTTTTTTCGTCAGTAACTTTGTTAATAGTAGTTGGAGAAAAAAAGTGAAAGATGGACTTTTGTCTCACAGTTTCATCCCCTTTGACATCCTCAGAGGAAAGTTATGCATTCTGGGACATGCTGTTTATTAAAAATTGAGCCTTTCAAGCTTCTTTAGCGATTCGATATTTCATTGTCAGATATTCGAACATGACCAGGAATACAGATGAGTTTAATTTCCTTATCTTTAATTTTTTAACGGATTTCAAGACTTCGTAGCAAAAATGAATACCGAAAATATTACAGTCATCATGCGAGATGGGTTTATATTTATTGTCAACGTGATAAACTGCTCCGTTTATGTTGACTAACCATCAAAGGATAATTATCGTCTGAACCAACTGTACGTTGATTAACGCATCGTTATAATGAACACTTTCAAAATTAACAGTCGTATCTTGTTATTTGCATTTAACTGTATTGTATAAATTTGAACGCGTTAAATTACGTTTATTTCAATACGATAGATAACATTTTTACGCGTATTTTAAGCTTCAGACCGCTGGAAAGCCGAAATATTAATTTAAGAATTCATAAATACTTTATGTGGCTTTTTAAAGACGTTTTAACGTATGGGGAGTCATAGGGCTAAAAATTTCCTTTCATGGTATTCTCTCTAATAGTACTTTTAAAGTATGTATTGATTCGTTAACGCCCACAATTCACGGAAAACACACGCACATGTTCCTATCGTGCTTTATATCTGAGAAATAATCTTACACGATTTTCGTATAAACGGCAAAACGAAAAGAGTTGAGCGTGACGTAGATTAGTCTAATCCGGAGAGCTAACAACCAGCACCCTTATACAAGGTGTCTCAGAATGCACGACTTTTCTCTGAGGATTTGGAAGAGGGTGAAATTCTGAGACAAAAATTCATGTTTCATTTCTTCCTCCGACCACTATTAACAAAGTTATTAACGAAAAAAGGCGACGAACGAGTAGAAGTGGAAAATGGCACGGAGCACAGCCTTGCGCTACTGCATAGCGCTGACAATGAGTGACCGTTGCGTGCGATATCCCTGTGCTCCATTTTTTTCGTCAGTAACTTTGTTAATAGTAGTTGGAGAAAAAAAGTGAAAGATGGACTTTTGTCTCACAGTTTCATCCCCTTTGACATCCTCAGAGGAAAGTTATGCATTCTGGGACATGCTGTTTATTAAAAATTGAGCCTTTCAAGCTTCTTTAGCGATTCGATATTTCATTGTCAGATATTCGAACATGACCAGGAATACAGATGAGTTTAATTTCCTTATCTTTAATTTTTTAACGGATTTCAAGACTTCGTAGCAAAAATGAATACCGAAAATATTACAGTCATCATGCGAGATGGGTTTATATTTATTGTCAACGTGATAAACTGCTCCGTTTATGTTGACTAACCATCAAAGGATAATTATCGTCTGAACCAACTGTACGTTGATTAACGCATCGTTATAATGAACACTTTCAAAATTAACAGTCGTATCTTGTTATTTGCATTTAACTGTATTGTATAAATTTGAACGCGTTAAATTACGTTTATTTCAATACGATAGATAACATTTTTACGCGTATTTTAAGCTTCAGACCGCTGGAAAGCCGAAATATTAATTTAAGAATTCATAAATACTTTATGTGGCTTTTTAAAAACGTTTTAACGTAACTAATATCGACTAAGATTAATTTTTAACACATGGAAAATATATGGGCATACAAGCGTAAATGATACAACTATCTACATGATAAGTAAAATAGCATGTTGCATGATCAGGCTCATTACGTGAACTTTTTCACCGGGAAATTTTCTTTTTTCACTAAAAATTTATTTTTGTCGGATAACATGCAAAAGTCAGTTTCAAGTTTAGGAATTCATTCGTTGAAAAGTTATTACTTTGAATAGCGTGCATTTTCTATGTCGGAATTAAAGCCGACCGACGCTAACGTGCAAAGGAAAAAATTGTTCAAAATGTTGAATTCTGTAGTATACCCAAAAATTTCGGTAATGATCTCGTACAACGAAAGATTCACCGAAGTTTTAATAAACTTCGCGCGCTAACGCGCAACCTACCGGTACATTTTTCAAGACCAAGTTATGTATTTTTGCGATCCCATCACGGTATAATCCTTAAGTGATGAATTAAAAGTTTTCAAAGTATTTCTGACATTGAGTTGTAGTGTGTTGACGTCATGCCAAGGGTTAAAAAAAACACTTTCGGTATCTTTTTTACTTAATAACTCTTCAACGAATGAATTCCTAAATTAAAAATTTATATTTCAGCATGTCACTTGATAAGTAGATTCGATAAAAACAAACTTTGAGTGAGGAAAAACGTTCCCCAAGGGAAAAGTTTACACGACTCTTTAATTCAGGCACTGAAACATTTTTACGATTAATATTGTCGACTCATAAGACTGAGAATAAATCAGAATTTACATACACGCACTTATTAAATTAACGAGTCTTCTACGTGTGGTTCGCAAAACCTTGGTTGTATAAAAAAACGCTGTTAATACGTACTTCGCGTTAAATTCACCCGAGGTTCATACGTCGCACGAACGATTTACTTTGTGTTACGAGCCGCATTGTGCCCGAAACGACAAGGGTAATTTAGAAAAAGTGACGCATACTCTTTATCGTCCACTTGAACGTGCGCGTTCTGTTTACTTTGTTCCCCGTGACACGTATATCCGGCTACGATAATACGACCAGTGGACATTGCAGTTCAGAAGCGTGGTAACTTGAATGCCCTTAAAGATGAGCAGCGAACCTCAAACAGAATTCATCCCCTCGTAGCCGGGGACGAGGACAGCGTTCGTTGCTCGACCGTGACTACGTTATTTAATATTCAATACTCAATTGGATTCTACAGTTCTGCGACAGCCATTTAGAAAATGTCAATTACCATCCTCTTTTCTCTTCTTCTTTTGTCGCATCATTCACATTAAGGGATGAAATAAAGAGAATAATTTATAATTCGATGAAGATTGAAATTATAAACTCGTTATGTACGAATTATTCTTAAACTGCTTAAGATTCGTGAAGATGAAATTCTTACATTTGAATATCTTTTTAGTTCTAGTAATTTGCGAAAGGCTGTTCGACCAAAATATCGTTTAGTCATATATCCATAGAAAAATCTTCCTGTTCGTTGTGCTTTACCGTTGAACCATATACACTTCAAGCCTGTTATCCAATCTTACCTTACGCTCTGCTATACTGCTGCGGAAACGGGCCTCGTCTCACATACCGTGCCCGTTGCTATGAGATAAACCTCGTAAAACAAAAATTTTTCCTCCGCACGAATTCATGCACGCACGCGTTCCCGTGACCTGGAATTAAATAAAACATCGGTTTCTATTGAGACTCGGCCACGAACACGTTTCCCAAGGAAATTGAAACTATACACGATATTAAAATGGTCGGTGTTATATCGCGGGACGAACTTCTTTTTAGCTGATCGTCGCGAAACAACTTCCACCGAAGCATGCAATTTTAATAAAAATAACACGGCAAGCAACATGTTTGTGCCGAACATCCGTGCATAATACAGACAGCTTTAAAATGAAAATAACTCCATAAACCGCGGGGATTGCAAAATATAAAAAAAAAGAATATGTGCCGAGTATGAGGCAATCTCCGAGAATAATTTTAAGACTTGATTCTCTGAGGACTAAAAGAAGATTTAAAAATCGACCAAAATGTTCTCTACTTCTGGTTCGTTTGATTAAAAAAATATGGAGAAAAAAAACTAAATCCCTTGGGGCACTGTTCCTTACGTTATAGCGGTCTATGGTTAAGAAACTGTCCTCCCTTCCGGTTTTTTCTTTCTTCCCATTTCATTTTCTTCTTCCGCTCATTCTTCTAACGCCTACGTGATCACAGAACAGTCGTTTGTGATCTATTTTCGAGGGATCGATACAAGCGTCTTTTTCAAGCATACTCTTGCACGCAAGAGGCAATAATAAAGGCGGGGATAGTAGTGGAGTAGCTGAATAAGTACGTGGGAACAGTAGTCGCGTGTTATTTAAGGGCTATTAAATAATCGGTCGAACTCGTTCGAAATATTATAGTTTGGTAACAATGCACTCCTCTTGTTTACAGTACTCCGAAAATGGCACGACAATCAAATTAAAGAATGTCCGTTTCGATGCTTCTGGTTCGTATTCCTGTCAGGTCTCGATGACGACTCCTATTTATACGCAGGCTTCCGAAAGCGTAACAATGAAAGTTATAAGTAAGTAATCAATCACTTTCTTTCAAAGAAAAACCGACTACTTCTTCAAACCTTCATCTTGTTAACTGAATGAATTCTTCTCGTTCATTGAGGTTGTTCTGGCTATATATGTCTCTGACTATCACGCAAAAAGTTATACGTGTTCTAAATATAGTGTATGCTCTAATTTTATCTACTCGCGTTGAAAGGAATATTTCAGTTGGAATACGATGAAATAATTAGTGAAGTCGCTTAACTAGTATTTTCGCTTCATTTTAACATTGCGTGCAAAGAATTTTTATTGTTATTGTCAATTGTTCAACTGTCATTTTCAACAGTTTATGTTGGCCGATACTCAGTCAAAATATGTATGTTTTTAACCGGGCGGCGAAGTCCGAATAATGTGAAAGGGCTCTAAATAAATTGATATAACTTCAAGTCAACCTTCTCAATTTTTTTCAAATGCTCGCCAGTTTAATTATAATATTATAATAACTACTTATTTGCAAAAATGTCAAACGTGTGTCCCTATTTTAACTCATACCCAGAACAACTTTAAAAATTATTTTCGGGCTAAGCACAGACATGTATGTAGGTCCCCCTGAACTTGTTTAAAAGGTGAAAAAGACATGAAATGTCAAGTATTCTTAGGTACATTAAAAAATGATAAGCTAACAGATATTTTAATTAACTGAAAAGGGCAGAATTGCACTCGCTGGAAGAAAGTTGTTTAATCAAATCTGTGGTGACATAGAAAATAAAAACTGATTTAATAGATGAACTAGTAAATAATAGTTGAAAAATAAACATTTCGCCTTAATGAAAGTTGAAATGGAAAAGTCGAATGAGAAGTGACGTTATTAGTTCAGTTCGTCCTTTCATGGATCGATCGATTAATTATGCAATCGTCCCCACTTATACGGTGAAATAAAATCGCGATAAAACACGGTGCGCAATTATAACGTACCGTTCAACCATAAAAATGTTATATTACTCATATCGACGAGCTGTTACTGTTGCATACATAAAAATAATATAATTCGTGGGAAACAAATATATGCAAATATATGGAAATACAGCGCCCATTTTGATATCGTAATATGAGCGAGAATAAACATTTTTAGAATCAAACGCTGGAACATAACACAGTTCTTAACCTGGTTTTCAGACTGTACAATCTAATCTAATTAGTGTTATGAAATTGTACAGTACCACAGACTGAAAATCCGAAAATCACGTTCAAGAAGGGCGTATACGTGGTCGGCGAAAGTTTAGAGGCGAATTGCACGTCCTCGGCTGCTCGTCCAGTTCCTCATTTGGCTTGGTACATAAACGGCAAGGAGGTGAGTAAATACCAAAAGTAACACATCATCGTCTCACGGCTTCCTAATGAATGACCACTAGCGTGAAAATTCGTTCATAATGTTAGGTCTAATATTCCATTGCTCGTGACGTTCATTTGATTTGTTATGAAGATTATTTGGCTATATTTCTTTTTAAGGGATACTTATCTCTGTTGCTTGAGATGGTATCATCTTAGCTCCCACTACGACGCGTTTCAGATTATGAATCAAGTAAGATTTGTATTAACAATTTTGATTCAATGGTCGGTATTCAGAGTCGTTACTTATATTTAAGATCGTCTTAAGCATTTGTTTAAGTCCCTGTTTCCTGTAAAAGACAGGGACTGGAAACATGGGATAGAGAGGGATGGCAAATGCTTAAGACGATCTTAAAAATAAGTAACGACTCTGAATACCGGCCAATGATCTTTTTTACAGATTTCTAAAATTTATCATTATCTTCATTGCTAATTGTAGAAATCTATCAATATCCTCCGGTGTATTTTTACTGATTGAGAGCGTATCGTAAAGAAAAAACAGAATGTTTCTACTTATTTATTCGCGATTGTTTGTATATACGTGTTGTGCCAGGTGGATATCAGTCTGGTCCACCACTATCCGCATACGCGTCACAAGGATCAATTGATGTCCGCTACTGCGAAACTGACCATAGAGGTGTCCGAGTTACATGCAGGAGAGAATGGATATCTGGAGATCAGCTGCTACGCAACAATACCGGATTATCCCCTGAACCACGTGGAGTACGCTGACATCAGGAAAGAAACGGTCTCGGGTAACTATACGATTACGTTTTCACAAGTTTTAATCACGATGCTAATATTTCTCGATAAAATCGTGAATAAATTTACATAGATAATACAGAAAATTTATGCATTAATAGAAAAGTTAGGTGTGCAGAAAACAAAGATTGGATGTAACATACAAAATTGA